TTTGCATGTGTGCATGTATAACTGAGCCAACATTTAAAATATTAAGTTACTAACACTCAAGTTGACTGACTTTGGAATACATTCTGAATCAGTCAAGTACCATCAATATATTAACCAATATTTTCTTTGGCTCTATTTCATTCAATAATTGAGAACAGGTATTTTCAATTTAAAATAGGTAGAAAATGGCCCATTGTCAAGGAACCTAATTTTGTAGAAAATCTAGCCATGTTGTTAAGTTTAACTTACATGCTTTGATTAAGGGCTTGAGATAATGGAAACAGGGAAAAACCCATGTTTTAACACTAGGATCTATATTTGCATCTTATCAATTTAGCAATTATTCTAAAGATTTACTACATTTAAATGCCTATTTAAGCAAGATTATTTAATTTCCAAGTATTTTAAATGAAGCTTTGTCCAGTAAACAGGAACTTTCATTTTTATTTCCAGAATTTTATAGAAACTTATTCAAAATAGATCAGATGTTGGGATTTGAGAAGGCTTAAAAGTTTTTCAGAAATAAATAATATGTAATATGTGTTCTTTTTTTTAAAAAATATATCTTTGTTGATTTCAGGGAGAGGAGGAGAGAGAGAGAGAAACATCAGTGATGAGAGAGTCATTGATCGGCTGCCCCCTGCATGCCTCTCACTGGAGATCAAGCCCGAAACTCGGGCATGTGCCTGACCAGGAATCGAACCGTGATCTCCTGGATTCTAGGCCGATGCTCAACCACTGAGCCAAGCTGGCCGGGCAATAATATGTATTCCTTATTCATTATTTGTAGTAGAGGTCTCTGTTTTTTAAAAGAGGCCTAATTGTAATAAATTCACATATTAAAAGGAGTACTTTAATAATTATTTATGTTTTGCTCTTAGAAAACTTAGCTTGTTTGTTTTGTTTCTTGCTTCATACAGTTTTTCCCTCCTCTGAGAGGATTTTTCTTAGTTCTTGGTTATTACTTGTTTACAATCAGTAAGCTAATTTTTAAGGACACAGCTATCTAGAAATATTTTTAGAAATGTTTAAAGGTTTAGAGGAACATTGTTCCTCCCTTACCCCCCTCATGGTGCATACGAAGTGTTCGGTCATATTTCAGTGTAGCGTACAGGGGTGGGCAAAAGTAGGTTTACATAATACAATAGTTAATAAATAATAATACAAGAATAAACTCTGTTTCTCACACTCACAACTGTAAACCTACTTTGCCCACCCCTGTGTATTACTCAGCATCTTTCGTCTGGAGGGTGGTGTAAAATAATAGTTAGCTAACATCTGTGCCTTTCTTTGTAATCGTAATTTTAAATGGAGAAGTTAGATTAGGGTTTTCTTTTAATTTTAATAATAATAGAAATTTATTTTGCATCTATAAATCAAACTCCACTAGATACTATCTGAATGAATTGCCACAGTTGCCCCAAGAAGTTATTTCCGTATTTTATGTGCATGAGAATGCAGAAGGCCAGATGAAGTAATTTACCTGGAGGTAACACAAGTTGTTAAATAGAGGGACCAGCATGTGTACCTGATCTTTCTTACTTCAAAACCCATGTTTTTTATACTACACTAGTTTTCTCTATTAAATGTATGAAATTCACTTGACATTATATGACTTTTATTACCAATTAGCAATTTCAAGTTCTATTCTGTCATCTGAATCAAGGTATTTCTCAAATATCTCTGTGTAGGCTAGCACCAAATGAAGATAAGATCCACAGAAAAAGTAAATGGTATCTACTTTAAAAACAAAACTCTTTCCTTTTCTCAAAATGATCTCTATGAAACTGCTGTCATGGTTTGTATTATAAAGTCCTAGATCATTATAAACTGACCAGTAACCAAATAGAGAAATTTCCCCTGGTCTCACAGTTCCCTAGGTTTAGGAGTGGCCTTTCACTATGTTATGAACTTAACTAGGGGAAAGGGAATGGGAGGGAGAGAAGAAGTGGATGTCATAGGTGGGTTAGAGCAGATCTTATGTTTTCCTACAAATAGGATAGCTGTATTGGTAGATCAAAAAGACTGTGTGTGTGTTTTAAACCCTTAAGTTGGTACTCACTTTATATCACAGCAGAGAAAAAAATTAAATGGTTTATATTACCTAGTAAAGTTCAACAAAGTATGCCCCCTTTAAAATCATATATTGTGCTGATAGAGAAAAGCTTTCTTCTGTGGCAGAGAAAGCTGGCATCTGCTTGAGTATCTCAAGACATGAATAGAGACAAGGAGAAACTCACTTCTTCCTTTAAGTGCTACTTGGTACATTAAAGGTAGATCAGGGCTTACTATGTTATGTAATAATTCTTATTTCTAGCAGTTAAGTGGTACTGTATTTTGTTCTCTGGGTTGTCATCATGGTACTTCTAAGTATTAAGGAATGCGGTTTTATTTTCCATAGAGAGCTTTCCATATGGTGTCAAATGCAGTTTACATCTTCAGATTAATTTGGAGTTTTCTTCTGGGTATATAGGTTTCTGTATAGGGACAAGGCATTGAGTGTCTTAAACTCCCTTTAATAACTATAGAAAGCTTTTCCTGTCAGATCTTTCTTTTTCTTCATACTTTCTTTTTTCCTCCCAACTTTAAGCGCAGCTACTCAATAGGTGCTGGTTTATTTTTTCTCCTCATGGAATCATGGGTAGTTTCATTGCAGCTCATCTCTTTCTGTTTGTTTCGTATAGGGCTGATAGTTCAGGACCATTCAGACCCCATGTTCAGTTCATATGCCTATAAGTCCCACTATCTACTGAATGAATCAAATCGTGCAGAGTTGATGAAATTACCTATGATTCCTTCTTCGTCAGCTTCCAAAAAGAAATATGAGAAAGGTAATAATCAAAATAGTTTATCTCTTGCTTTTATTTTTGCATTTCCTTTTTTTTTTCTTTCTTTTTAAATGAAGGGGGGAAATGTATGCCTGTCAAGCACCATCTGTTGCTTTTGGTAAATTCTACCTTGGTGGTTGTGACTGTCTTCATATGGCTGCAAAAATTATTAAAAAGGGCTTAAAATAATTCCATTTATTAAAAATTTTTACCTACTCTTCTCCTTGAATAAATTCTCACACACTCCATATATCTATGGGTTATTAAAATTGAAAGACTTGGATTTTGCTTAACAGAGAGAAATATTCTAAGGGCTCTCTCTCCTTTGCCTGATGTAGAACTAACTTTCATGTTAGAGTAGAATAGACACAATATAATTTGTTACTAACTTTCAACTAAATAGTTGTTAAATAGAGGGAAACCAGGATACTGATACTTAAAGATTTGAGTTTAGAATACATTCTGTCGTTTTGTTTCTTAAATGTTTTTGTTCAGTTGCTATGAAAACTAGTTGCCCTTCTCTTAGGATACATTGGTGGGCAGCTGAGAAGGATGCCCTAAATACTGGATATTGAAAGGCAGCCCAGCTGAGCTGAAGAATTGCTTATGGATAATTTATCCACAGAGAATCAGGAGCTAAATGTTTATTTATATTCTCCCAGTTAATTTAGTCTGTGGGGAAAAAAATCTTGTGTTTAGCTTTGCATAGTTTACCTGTAATAAAGGTAAAAAGTGGTTTAACTATAATGTATTATTTGGGAAGTTACTATCTCAGCGGGTAAAATAAATAATCTGGAAGATGAAAGCCTTTCCTGAATGCATTCCCATTATGATCTGGGGCTAGGTTCGGATTCTTTAAAGAAAAATTAATTCATACCTAACATATTGCATACACATTGGAAATGTGCCTCTTTTTTTTTCTTTGTGTTGCCTGCTTGATATATCTTTGTTCTTTGTCAGAATTCTTAAGTGGCAACCCTTGCCTAAAAGAAAGTATAACTAAGCAAGCTGATTAGAACCTGGAGAAGTAGGTTGGAGAGGTATTAGGTTTTTTTGTTTGTTTTCCATTGAAGTCCACAGTATGTCACCTTACTGGTGACACCACCTACTTCCAAAACAAAGATAGGCATAGGCCTGACTAACCATTAATGCAATAAAATTAGACTACCCGAAGCATTTTAGGAAATGCCTTATTTTCCTGTTGGTGCCATTAAAATTAGATTAATTCAATTGTTGCTTACTTCGTTTTCAGTACTCAGTTTTGACCTTGACATAAATTGAAATTATTTTGAGCCCTCTGTTTGCTTAGCTTGAACCACATCTTTTCTTGCATCCTAAAGCAGTTTTCTTGCATAGCAACAAGGTGGATCATTCATATTTTTATTTTTCTATTTCCCTTGTGTTTTGGGGGGGGGTTTTGGTCAAAAAATCATGGTGATTTTCACTGATGATTCTCAGTCTGTATTTCCTCTGAAATAAGACTTAAAATTCAGGACTACCCCATAATGTTAAAAATGGCCAGCCTTACTTTTCCTCATCAGCTCTAATAATCACATGCCCTCTAAAAGCTATATGCAAAGGCTGCTCTCCCTGTTGGTCATTTCTTTCTGTTGGAAAAAATGGATTTTCTCATTTTAGTTTAAACTTACAGAAGAATTTCTTACCTAGGCTAAGAACACTCAGACAGCTAATCTCTGGGTTGGGGAATTGGAACCATTAATCCATATTGAGGTTTGCAGACAAAGGAAAAAATCCCAATGATTGAAGAAAAGCTTTTAAGCAGAGGAAATATAGTAATTTAATTCATCACTGATTCTATATGGATTTTCTTTTTGTTTTTATGTTAATCAGTTAGAAGTTTGAAAGTCTGCAGTAAGATAAGATTTTCTGGAAAATTAAAAGCAAACCCTTAAAAGGTTGGAGCATGTGATTTGATAAAGTTGTATAGAGGGCTCCTAACCTTTAGCTAATGAGACTTTAATAAAATATTAGTGTTCTGTGGGTTATAGACCTGATTTTCCAATGGGAAGATGAATTTTTTTTGTAGTAAATGTCTTTATCATATTTCATCTTCAGTGGTTGACATCCTTCTCTGTTACTTGTTGAAATACCTATTAGAAATACTGACTCTCCTCTCCCCGCCCCCAAATCTTTCTCATTTATTTGCATTTAGTAATATTATTTTGTTTTGTTTGCTGCACCTGTTTTGGTCTTAATCCAGAGATCATTCTGTGTAATTATAAGAAGAGGATTTTGCTTAGGGGAGTTGAAGGGATCTCCTCACTTGTGGTACTTCATTCTACACTGATATTTACTTAATTTTATGCTATAAAGCAGTGGTTCTCAATGTGAAGTAGAAAAAACTTATGTAAACAGAACTTTTGAACTGTGCTTAATATTAAACAATTCAGTATGATGATGCTAGTTTTGTTATTGGATTCAGAAGCTCTGATTGGCAGTTACATATTTCTTTGGTTAATAAAAACAGGAAAAATGTTACTTTTCAAATGTAAGGGGTTTGTTTTTGGCTGATCATGTGGGTTCATGAAGGGAAGGGAAGGAGATCCTTGGTGATGAAAACATTGTAAACCACTGCTCTATAGCCTGTTTGACTTTGTTTATTTTCACTGAAAAGGTAATGATGATGTCTGTAATCACTAACTTGAGCAAGTGCGATCCTTTTGCTTTTTTGTATCCTTTTATGGGAAGACAAAAGTACTGATCAACCTATTGCCTATTTTCATTCTTGCTAATTTTATTATAAAGGGATTTGGTCGACTATGGCACTGGATTAAAATACAAAGGTGACCATTATTTGCTTTCTTACCTCTCAAGGAGAAAAGAAAGTAAGTTGCTACATATTTGAAAATCTGCTCTCAAATTTACTCGATTAAAAAGTTGATTCCCCTATTTTGTCCTATATTAAGAGTTTTAGCCGCCTGCTAAACTGATAGCTCAACAGCCCGCATTTTACAGGGGTGAAGAGTACAGTCCTGTTTCTCTTACTGTTCAAAAGCCAAGTTTCTGGCCACTGAAGCCCTGAAAAGAGAAGACGCTAAATCTGTTCATTTGCTTTCTATTTTAATCCATCACCATAGATATGACTCCATCCTTTGTTATTTCCCCCTGTTTGAATCTGATTTAATGCACTTAAAAGATAACTTTCTCCTTTTTCTTTCTTTCTCTCTTCCCTCTTTTCTAGTTATTAAGACTGTTTATTTGTTTCAAGGTGGAAGATTGCTCTGCTGCGAGTCGTGCCCAGCTTCCTTCCACCCAGAATGCCTGAGCATAGAAATGCCAGACGGCTGCTGGAACTGTAATGACTGTAAAGCTGGCAAGAAACTACATTACAAGCAGATTGTTTGGGTCAAATTGGGAAATTACAGGCAAGTTTTTCCAAGGACAAAGAGGAAGTGTTCAGTCATTGTTCAGACCTAGGTTCATAATCTGTGTACAAACTGGCTAGCAGACAGGTAGAAGAGCAGAGCTCCCTCCTTTAAAAAGAGAGAGAAGAAACATTTTGAGTCTGGATTTTTAGAGGATGGAAAGGTTAGTTGTGGATTTATTTTTATTTTTTGATTGGTTGGTTGACATTTGCTTTTAAGTTCCAAACGTTGTTTTATACTAATGAACTATGTACTCCTAGATTTTGGAATAAGAATTCTTATGTATGTAATGGGGAAGATGTTGTCTTTGCACTCTAATTAGCCTTATATTGACTTGTGATTTCTAATAAAATCAAGAGTTTTTTCCTGGCCAAAATAGCTCTCTTTGCCCCTTAACCTGGTCCATCTTAGTTCTAGCTAAAAGCTCTAACCTGTATGCAAAGAGAGAGCTTTTTAGGATTTAAAGAGAGAAGTTGTTTCATTAAGAGCCTTTAGCTCTTAAGAGAGTAAGAAGTATGTGTGTTACCATTATTTTAATAAAACTCTCCTTTAACAAGCCTTCATTGAACAGGAATAGTGATATATTTTTAAAACTCTACATTCTGCATTTTGAGGCATATTTTTATTGTTTTACTAAGAAAATAGATACTATTCAAGAGAACACAATAGAATTCTGCTTTTCTATTAGAATCCTAAGTAAAATATATTTCTAGAGAATTTCAAACATACTGAAATTTATTTTAGCAAGGGCTATTTTGTTTTCTGTTTTAAATATGCTGCTTGCTTACCTGTTTAATTTTTAAAACTTTGTTTTTTAGCTGAGATAAGTGGCATTAAGGTTGAGATACCCCCCACACACACATTAGTTTTTTTTAAGATATGACAGGAAATCTCCAAGTCCTAAAAAAATTGACAGTTTGAATACATAAAAAATTTTCTACTGTATGGAAAACAATATTGTAAATTTTTTAAAAGCAAATGTCAAGCCAGGGGAAAGTGTTTACTTTTCTACTTTCAATAAGAAAAGACAAATACCTAGGAAAAAAGGAATAAAGTGAAAGAGCTAGCTTGCAAAAGAATAGCAAATGGAAAATAAACATGTAAACAATGCCCAGCTTCACTAAAAAATAAATGTTCATTAAATACAAAGAGAACCCCCCACCCCAGAACAGACTGGCAAAATTTAAGAGAGTAATAATTTTATGGCTAGGGAGGGCATGGGGAAACGGGTGCTCCCCATGAGGCGGTCTGGCATCACGTTTTAAAATTTTAACTGTGTATACTCCTTGACCTAGCACTGCCCTTTCAAGAAATTTATCTAATGAAAAAATATTGGACAAGCAGGCAAAAATGTATGTATTAAGGTGTTTGTTGCAGAATTATTTGAAATAACCCAAATGCTCAGTCCACAAGGGATTTGCCAAATAAATTGTAGTCTATCCATATTGTAGAATACCTTGAAGCCAATAAAAGAATAATGCGAGTCTGTGTAGTGACGTGGGAAGATATCCATGATACATAGTTGAATTTAGAAAACATGTTAAACAGTATGTACATTATCTTTCCATGTATTTATACAATTTTTTAAAACTGTAGATCTAGATACAATATGTTTCTAATACCTGGAAAGAAATACGTCTAATATTAATGGTCTGAGGCATGAGATTATAAGGAGAGGCATTTTCAGTTTTTCTGTTATACACTTGTGCATTGTTTTATTTTTAAAAGAAACACACTGCTTTTATAATTAAAAATATATATCTTTTGGGGTGAGGAGGGTCATGGGTTTGACAATTAATAGATAGACATCCTGGATAAGAAATATCTAAAACAGTGTAAGAAACTTTAGCTCTTCAAATAAATTTCAGAATATTTTCTTTTTATTTAATCTTGGGGGGCTCTTTTTTGAGCCATAGTTGACATGTTAGTTTCAGCTGTACAACATATTGATTCAGTATTTGTATATAGTATTGCAAAATGATCACAAAAAGTCTAGTCAACATTTATCATCAGGCATAGTTACAATTTTCTTCTCTTGTGATGAGAGCTTTCTAAATCTACTCTCTTAACAACTTTCAGATACATAATACGGTACTATTAACTATAGTCACCATGCTGTACATTACATACATCCTTTTTAAAGATGTTGTAAATGTGAAATATCTTTGCCTTAACTTAAATGCTTAAGTTTTAATCATATTGCATTTAAAGAAGCCCAAAGCAGTGCTCCAGTTCACATCCCAGGGAGGTTTTATATGCACGTCAGGTTCTTCCTGTATGTTCTGCAAAGACTTCCATCCATGAACTAAATCTTAATGTATTTTTTCCAGTCAGGCCCAGCTGGGCCACATGAAGCTGTTTCTTTTCAATGACTAGTTGCTCCAGTGTGGAGCTTCCTGGGGGAAATATGAGGACCTGGAACAGCTCCTGGCAGAAAGTGTGCCTCTTCCTGACCCCATGAATGCAGTCATCGTGTACATACTTACTGCCTTAAAATGGTTTAGAAATAGCCATTTCCTAGCCCACTTTGAGGGAAACCAAACACTGATTACACAAAATGGTGGTTGGTTTTGTTTGAACAATTTGAGCACAGGTTCTTACCCACGTTTTTCATTAATTTTTAGATGGACAGCAGATACCTTTTAGATGAAGCATATTCAAATTCTGCACTATAACCCTGAGAGTGTGGCCATGCTGTCATTTATCTTCTAAATAATACAATTACTCATTAAGTCAGTAGTATTATTAGGCACCTATAAAATAAGTGACTGAAAAAGTTTAAGTTTTTGTATGTTTACTGTTCACATTGATGGTTTTACACACTACAAAAGCTTCACCTTTCAGTTTCTGACTTGCCCAGATGCTGGAAGTTGTCACATGCGCTTTACAGATGGTTTCATTTAGTGATTGCTGTGGTTTCAGTCATTATGGCATGAAACAGTTCTGTTTCATTCTGACCCAAAGTCCATGTTTATTATGATCCAAGATGAACTAGATTCTGAAATACACACTGATAGAAACCTAGTACATTTGACCAAAAAGTATTTACCCTGGGTGATTAGAAAGTCAGAAAATGCTAATTCAAAGGGGAGTGGCTATTCTTTAGTATCAGTTTATTTTCAAGCGAGCCCCTTGACTACTAGTAATAAGCTTTTATGCCTAGGACAATGTTGGTTTTAAGAATACCAAGTTTGGAAAAAATATGCCTTTTCTAGGATAGAAATTTGATATTGGTAAACTGTGATATTGGTGAATTCTAATTCTTAAAATTATTTCATTATGCTTTATAGTTTATATTTCATGATACATATTCTGTTATAAATATTAATATTTTATATTTATAGAAAATTTTATATTTAAAGAAGGAAACTAGATTGGGTGTTTAGGGCCTAGTTTGTTTAGTCTATGTTCAGTATTTCATTAATAAATTCATTAATCAATATGATTTTAAATGCTGTGTGGTTTGAGCAGGATTAAAGATAAACAAGGTATTTTGTGTCTCTAGAGTCTGAATTAAAGCTGCAAAGTACAAAACCTTTTTTCAGTCCTGCCAGCTATGTAAAGAATAGTGTGATTTTCATCCCCTTGGTCTAAAATTGTTTTTGTTTTCAGATGGTGGCCAGCAGAGATCTGCAATCCCAGGTCTGTGCCACTGAACATCCAGGGCCTTAAGCATGACTTGGGGGACTTCCCTGTGTTCTTCTTTGGTTCTCATGACTACTATTGGGTGCACCAGGGCAGAGTGTTCCCTTATGTTGAAGGAGACAAAAGCTTTGCTGAGGGGCAGACTAGTATTAACAAGACCTTCAAAAAAGGTAAGTTGGATGATGTTTATAGTGGCCCGAAACTAAGGCTCCAGTGTTGATTTCTCAACATCTTCCCACTTGCATATGACATGTTCCTGGAACTCTAGAGAATTTTCACCAGGCTTTATGATCCAACATCCATGCGTTTCTAATCCCATTGGAACCATATCAGAACCTAATCAATTAGAAAAATACATTTTCAGTATAGTAGGCTCTCTGCTGTGTATGTGAAAGGAGTTTCTTCAGTGATCTTTCTAGATAAAGAGGTTTTTCTGGGAATAGTGTTCTTAGTCAAGTGATGTTCCTTTACCACAGAAGAGCAGTAGAACTCCCCATGAGGAGCCTTACAATTGTTTTTGCAACAAGTTACCAGAAAGTTTGGCTTTCTGGGTGAGAATAAAGTGAATTTAAGTCTAGTACAAGGTACAGAGCTTCCCGTGGGTTCACGTGGAAGCCTCTGATCATTGAAGTAGAACCTCATCTTTGAGGCAGCAGCTCGCCCAGAGCAATGTTCAGCCAAAAGTGAGTCATATCCTATTTCAGTGTTACCCTACCCTGGTGGTAAGTGGTTATTTCCAGAAATGATTTTAAAAAGAAAAAATTGGCCTGATTCAGTGCATTGGGGAGGCAGAGTAAAACTACTCTCCTAACGGTTTTTGTTTGTTTGTTTTTTGGCATTTATATACTTTGTTTGTTCTTATTGGCAGCTCTGGAAGAAGCCGCAAAACGTTTCCAGGAATTGAAAGCACAAAGAGAAAGTAAAGAAGCACTAGAGATTGAAAAAAACTCAAGAAAACCTCCTCCTTACAAACACATCAAAGTGAGTTTTTACCGGTGAAAGATTGGTATTTGACGGGCAAGATGAAGTGCAGTGCTCTCTCAGTAGTTAGAAGGCCCGTTTTGACTTGTGAAAACTTTTGCTAATTTCTTCCCAGTCTTCTATAAAACACAGAGCTTTTGTTGGCAGTGTCAAAGTCAGATGGGAGTGAGGGAGCTGGGGGCAGGAGCTGTGGGATGAGGTCTTTGATAAACCCTCTGGCACCTAGGAGCGCCACATTTGATGGGAAATCCTGTTCGCACTCTGCCCAGTTATCCTGCTACCAAATAAGAATGGAGATATTTGCTCCTTTTATCTAGACAACCCACAGTTGTTTTCAGTAGTGAAATTGCCGTCAATAGTAGAATGAGCCCGGCCGGGTGTGGCTCAGTGGTTGAGCGTCGACCTAGGATCCAGGCGATCGGGGTTCGATTCCCGGTCAGGGCACATGCCCAGGTTGCGGGCTCGATCCCCAGTCAAGGTTTGCAGGAGGCAGGCGATCAATGACTCTCTCATCATTGATGTTTCTCTCTCTCTCTCCCTCTCCTCTCTCTGAAATCAATAAAGATATAATTAAAAAAAAAAAATAGTAGAATGAGAAATACACAGGACAGATAAGTGAGAATTCACATCAGTTTTTGATATTTTTGTCAATAAGGAGAGGCAGTTCCTATTCTTAGCTTATTTGTGGGGAAATTACAATTACAATAAGGAGCCTTTCTCAGAGTCACGCTGCAGAGCAGTAACAGAGCCAAGAACAGCATGGATGTTTCTGATGTTCTGTTTAAATTCCTCTCTCTCATTTGTGATTTTGTTTTCTAGGCTAACAAAGTCATAGGAAAGGTACAGATCCAGGTTGCAGATCTGTCAGAGATTCCCCGCTGTAACTGCAAGCCAGCTGATGAAAACCCCTGCGGCTTGGAATCAGAGTGTCTGAACAGAATGCTGCAGTATGAGTGTCACCCACAGGTGTGCCCAGCTGGAGATCGTTGCCAGAACCAGTGCTTCACAAAGAGGCTCTATCCGGATGCAGAAATCATTAAAACGGAGCGGAGAGGCTGGGGCCTCATGACCAAAAGGAGCATTAAGAAGGTAATGTGAGACAGGGGCACTGGTGGCATGGATCCTAGACCAGGCCTGTGCCTCTCAGATGTTTCAGCGGGGATAGAATGTTTGGGGATTCATGGCAGACTCTTGAAAGTTCCCAAGTTGACAATTTGGCACTTCTTAAGCAATGAAATAGCTGTAGGAAGTGGTAGTAATAAAATGCACATAAACTTTGTCTTATGATCAGTCATAAAAAGGAGAAGGGACATTGGTCATTTTCTGTTTGAATTATGTTTTACTTGTTAAGTAAAATAGATTTAAAAGACCTAGTAAAGGCAAAATAGTAAAATTAAAAATTTACTGGGATAGGCGTGCAGGAAGCAGCCAATCAATGACGACTCTCTCACCATTGATGTTTCTATCTCTCTCTCTCTCTCTCCCTCCCTCTCTCTGAAATCAATAAAGATATATTTTTTCAAAAAAATTACTGGGATAGAAACTAGCAAACCCAGGGCTTTGCTCCAACATCATAATTCATTAGCCTTAAAACCGTGACCAAGTTAGTCAAGCTCCATGAGCCTCAGTTTCCTCATCTCTAAAATAGACATAGTAATCCCTGCCCTACACGTCAGCGTTGTTGCTAGTCTCAAATTAGATTGTATATACAAAAGCAACTGGAAAACCTTAAGTACTTTGAGGGAGTTTTGCAAAGCAGTCCCTTTGTTTAACACAGAAATGCCTGTCCGTTGCAGAAAATTTTCTAAATACAATTAATTCAAAGAAAAAAAATGAAAATCACCAGTATATCCTACTATTGAAACAGAGGCTCTCAAACTTGAGAGATTCTGAGAATCTCCTGGGTCCTTATTAGAAACAGTAATGCCTGAAATATCTGGGACAGTATATTCTGCATTTTATAACAAGTCCTCGCCCTGCCCCCACTTCCACCTCTCCCCTGCTTGCCTAATGCCAGTATATAGAACTTGGAGATGTAGTCACGGAGAGAGGTGGACCTAGGTAGAATTTTTCATTACTCTTTACATATTTCTACCTTTTAAAAAAATCACCTTTGTGCCTGGCAAGGTGTGGCCCAGCAGTTGAGCATCGACCTATGATCCAGGAGATCACAGTTTGATTCCCGGTCAGGGCACATGCCTGGGTTGCGGGCTCGACCCCCAGCAGGGGGCATGCAGGAGGCAGCTGATCAATGACTCTCTCATCATTGATGTTTCTGTCTCTCTCTCCCTCTCCCTTCCTCTCTCTGAAATCAATAAAGATATTTTTTTTTAAAAGAGAAAAAAATCACTTTTGTGATTAAAAAGTACCATGTAATATAATAAAGAAAATCAATACAAAAATACAATAGAGTGAAATTCCTCCTTCATCCCTTCAATTCTTGGTCTCATCAGGAATGGCCATTGTTAATAGGTTTGTATGTAGACTTTTAGAACTTTTTCTGTGCAATTGTAAGCATTAATGCATATACAAATATATATTCACATATTCTTATTTGTAGGGTTTTTAATAAGTGTGATCATACATACTTTTCCTACTTAATATATCATAAATATATCTGTATAACAGTACATAGAGATTTCATCTCATTCTTTTTAACAGTCTCATTGTATTCCATAGTAAAGTAAATGTACCAAATTATGTACCATAATTTATATAACCTATTTTCCAATAAATTTATATATATATATATTTTTAAACAACGCCTTTTATTTTTTAAAAGACTTTTTATTGATTTTTAGAGAGATAGCAAGGGGGAGGGAGGGAGGGAGAGAAAGAGAAAGAGAGAGAGAGAGAGAGAGAGGGAAACATCTATCAGTGAGCCTGCAACCCTGGCATGTACCCTGATCAGTAATCAAACTGGCAACCTTTTGGTGCACAGGACATCACCCAACCAACTGAGCCACACCAGCCAGGGCTGTATTTTTAATTCTGTAGGGAACATTCTTGGTCATCTGTCTTCATGCACCTGTTTCTATAGGTTAGATTGCTTGAGATGAACCTCATTCATTCAGGACCTATTTGTGGAGCTTCTTCTGTGTGCCAGGTACTGTTCTAGGTACTTGGAAAAACAGTAGTGAACAAGACAGATGATGAACAGATACCTGATGCTGAGCACCACTAAATGCTGCAAAGAAAGTTAAGCTATCAGAGGGGATAGCTGGCTGCTTTAAATTTAATGGTTATAGAAGGCCTGGGGAGGTAACATTTGACCTGAGTGTGAGAGGGAGAGAGTCACAGAGATACATATTGAAAAGAGCATTTCAGACTGGGAACAACAAGGACAAAGGCCTTAGCGTGCTCTGGAACAGTAAGAAAGNGGGGCTAGATCATGTGGGCCTAGGAAATTTCTGGAGCGTTGTAGCAGGGCCTGACTGGATCTGAGACCTGATGTATGCATTTTCTCTTGCTGCCTAACAGTATTCCACACACTTGGCAACTTAAAGCAGCACGCATTTTATTATCTCAGTTTCTGTGGGTGAGGGGTCCAGGCAGTGCTTAGCTGGGCCCTCTCACAAGTTGCAGTCAGGGTGATGACCAGAGCTGAATTCTCACTCGTGTGCCTCAACTAGGAAAGGATCCACTTCCCTGCCTGCATGGCCGTTGGCAGAATTCTGTTCTTTGCACCTGTAGGTCTGAGAGCTTCAGGTGTTTTTTTGTTTGTTTCATTTGTTGTTATTGTTTTATTGTCCTTAGCTTCTAAAGGCTGCCTGCAATTCCTTGCCAAATGGGGTTCCCCAGCATGGCTCTGCTTCCATACAGCCAACAAGGAAGAAAGATACTCCAGCAAGATGTGTGCTAAAGTCATAATGTAACAAACTCATGTAATCACATATATCCGTCACCTTTGTCATGCTCTGTTGCAAGTCACAGGTCCTGCTTACTCAAGGGCAGAGGATCACACAACCATGTGAACACCGGGAGGCAGGGATCATGGGGGCCACCCTCAGAGTCTGTCTGCCACACTTGGGTTTCAAAAGAATAACTTTGGCTCTAGTATGGAGAATTTATGGTAATGGAGAAAGTGATAAGAAGGAGACCATTATAATCCAAGAGAGAGATGATGGTGGCATACACTTCTAGGGTTGTAGTTGAGCAGGAGAGAGGAGGTTGGCTTTCTGACAGATTGAAGGTGAAGCCAATAGGATTTGCTATGCACTGGATATGTGGGTTGGGCTGCTCCGTCAAAGGCCATCTGCATGTAAAATATTAATGATTCAAAATTTTTAATACTTTAATGCCATGAATATCACATATACACATTTTTGCCTATGATTTCAGGGGAATGTTTAGAGGATCCTGAAAACTGTCGAGTTTAATTTCATTTTAACACCTGTTTTTTTTTAATCCTCACCAAAGGATATTTTTTCCGTTGCTTTTCAGAAAGAGGGGAAGGGTGAGAGAGAGAAACATCAATGTGTGACACATCGATTGGTTGCCTCTTGCACGTGCCCCAACCAGGGCCAGGGATCAAACCTGCCGATGAGGTACACACCCCTGGCCACACTTGAACCCAGGACCCTTCAGTTCATGGGCTGGTGCTCCAACCACTGAGCCAAACTGGCTAGGGCTCTTTTTAATACCTTTCAATAGTAGCACTTATTCTGAAACATCTTCTAATTTATTAAATTAGTGGTATACAGTTGACCCTTCAACACTTAGAGGTTAGGAACACTAACCCCACACAGTCAAAAATTCACATATAACTTTTTTGACTCCCCAAAACTTAAGTTGTGCCATGGGAGATTGGTTCTAGGACCCCTTGTGGACACCAGAGTATGAGGATATTCAAGTCCCCTGTACAAAGTGGTATACATTGCCCAGCTAGTGTGGCTCAGCAGTTGAGCATCGACCTATGATCCAGGAGATCAAGGTTTGATTCCCAATCAGGGCACATGCCCAGGTTTGGAGCTAGATCCCCAGTAGGGGGCGTGCAGGAGGAAGCCAATTGATGAATCTCATCATTGATGTTTCTATCTCCCTCTCCCTTCCTCGCTCTGAAATCAATAAAAACATTAAAAAAATAAAATGGTGTACATCAGTACATACAGTCAGCCCTCCATCTGTGGACTCCCAGCCTCAGAGGGAAAGTAGTACAAGTATTGAAAAAATGCATGTATAAGTGGACAGGTGCAGTTCAAACCTGTGTTGTTCAAGGGTCAACTGTAATTAAAAGAAAATACAATCAGGGTTATTCTGCCCTTTAGCACTTGAGGAATTGCTAATGTAAGACCATTGATCTTTTACAAAATAGCTAGAAATATATGGTCACTGAAAAGCATTATCATAAAGACTTTGTAGGAACATGGAAAAGATTTTTGGTACATTTAGGGGACAGAAGCCAAATATGAAACTGAAAGTACACAGGCAGTCCCCTTCTTTTCACACTTAAATCCTGACAGTGTGTGCCAGAGTCAAGCAGGGCACTTCCTGCTATCAAGTGGTTTCTTAGAAATTGAAAAATATGTATAAATGCTAAATTACACCCTGTCTTTTTGCCAGTCTTTAAGGGGAGATTTTTAGCATGTTTTGAGGTCTTTATTTTATTTTTATTCACAGATAATGGTTTGAAGTACAATAAGTGACTCTGAGGTTAACGGTTTGCCACTTTGGACATCTAAAGTATTTCTTTTACAAAATAGCTAGAAATATTTATTCACAATGGTATAGCAAGTTTATGAGAAATGAACTCCTCATATTTGATATCAGCACTTTAATTTTTTATATTCATTTGTTTTCATAGAATAATAAATATAAACCATAATAAATGGTTCTCAAGTTTTTAAAGCCACAGAACCATTTCTTCAGATGAAATCTTACCTTGAATCCACTATGTGGAAAAGGTGAAGTATAGCTGATTTGGTTGAAATTCTGTTCCATAAGTTTTCATTAAAGCAAGTTTGCCATAAAGTAAGTAGTTAAGTACAGTAGTCACCCCTTTTCTGCAGTTTCAGTTACCCATAGTAAACCACAGTCCAAAATATTAAATGGAAACTCTAGAAATAAACAACTTAAGTTTTAAATTGCATGCTGTTCTGAGTAATGTGATGAAATCTCCCACCATCCTGCTCAGTCCCACCAGGGATGTGACTCATCCCTTTGTCCGGGGTCTCCAAACTGCTCCCTGCCTATTAGTCACATAGTAGCCACCTCAGTTATCAGACCCACTGTCACCATATCATAGTGCTTGTGGGTAATTCACCCTTATTTTACTTAAGAGTGGCCCCAAAGCACAAGATGCTGGCAATTCAGATATGCCAAAGAGAAGCCGGAAAGTGCATCCTTGAAGTGAAAAGGGGAAATTTCTCAACTTAATTAGGCATTTTATCATTTCACATCATCATAAGAAGGGTGAGTACAGTACAGTAAGATGTTTTGAGAGACCACATTCATATAACTTTTACTACAGTATGTTATAATTATTCTATTTTATCAGTAATTATTGTTAATCTCTTACTGTTCCTAATTTATAAATTCAGCTTTATCATAGGTGTGTATGTATAGGGGAAAAATAGTATAAAAAAGGTTCAATACTATCCTCAGTTTCAGGCATCCACTGGGGGGTCTTGAAACATATACACTAGGTGGCAATGCAACCAAGATGGAAATGAAATCTTCTACCATATAATAGTGCAAACTGCATTCATCAGCTGTTGTCAAAGCTGAAACTGGATGTAGGAAAAGCCATTTAAGGCTGACAATGCACAGTACATTGTCCTTTGTGAGAAAGAACTGGAAGGAAAAAGTGGAGGAAAAAACTGTTCTGTTATAGTGTTGCAGTTATAGATGAAATGTGTTTCTTTGTCATAGCTTGTACAATCAATAAAATGGGAGAAAAAGCCAGAGGTCAGCTTTTGTGGTGACCACTCCCCAGTGAAAACAAGTATGTAGCTCCTTGAAGCAGACTGGTGTTCCTCAGTGACCTCACTAACAGCTAACTACCAGAGAAAAACTGATGCATGGGACATTAGGTTGATGCCTTCCAATGTCACTCAATAACTTCTTTTGTTTTTATCAACAGAAAAAAATTATTTTAAAGACCAATAGCTCATGTTCTTAATGATTTACCAAAATCAAAAAAGATAATATAGTACTTCTCTTTAGATGACTGATATTTACTATCAGTTCTGATAGTAAGAACTATGAGAAGGGCTACTGAATATTTGTGTGGGGAGGAGAGCAAAAAATAGAAGTCTGATAAAACAGTAAGCAAATATATTTTTATTTTTCCTAAGGTATTTCTTTTCCTCAAAAATGTATTAGTTAGACTAATAAGCCTATAGATAATGCTGTTGTCCTAGATCAGATCATCCACACTTTTAAGGTGAAGGGTTATTGACTATGCATTTATAAATAAAACATTGAATGTACAGTATTTACCCTTATTTAAAAAGGAATTTATCACTACACACTGGTTAGAACACCAAAATGAAAAATAGTGACAATACCATATGCTGGCAAGGATATAGAGAAATGAATCTCATGCATTGGGAATGTGTAGTGGGAATGTGAAATGATACAACCACTCTGGAAAATAGTTTGCCAGTTTCTTTTAAAATTAAATATACACTCACCATATGACCCAACAAATTGCACTTGTGGCCACTTATCCCAGAGAAATAAAGACCTATGTCTACACAAAAATGTCTACAAAAAATTCTTTTACTAGAATGTTCATAGCAGCTTTATTTGTAATAGCCCAAATCTGGAAATTGTTCAGATGTTCTTTAATAGGTGAATAGTTAAACAAAATCGGTACATCCATGCTGTGGAATACTATTCAGCAGTAAAAGAACAACTATTGATACACACAACTTGGATAGATCTCAGGGGAATTAGGCTGAGTTGTTTTTGTTTTTTTAACAAGTCAATCTCAAAAGATTACATATTATTCCATTTACAGAATATTCTCAAAATGGCAGAATTATAGAGATGGAGAACTGATAAGGGATGGGATGGGGTGGGAGAGGGGAGAGGAGGATGGTGTGATGATAAAGGAGTAGTTTAGGGCTCTCTGTGGAAATGGGACAGTTCTGTATCTTGATTGTGGTAGTGGCTACGTGACTCTACACCTGATAAAATTCCATAGAACTACATACACGCATGCAAATGAGTGCATGTAAAATTGGTAAATTCTGAATAAGGTTTGTAGATTGCACCAATGTCATTTTTCTGGTTTTAAGTAGTTACATAAGGTGTTATCATTGGAGAAAACTGAGTGAAGGGTACACAGATCATCTCTGCACTATTTTTGCTAGTTCCTGTGAATATCTAATTAGTTCAAAATAAAAAGTTAACCAAAATAAAAAAACTCACTTATTCAGAGTCAGATCTTTGCAAGTCTTACCCCTAAAGCTACAAACTAATCAAGTCTGTTATAGTACAGCTTCAAAGGCTCGAGGTAGCCTTATCCTCAGATCCCATATAGAAATAATATTGTCAGCAAAAAAAGACAAGCAGATTATTACCGTTTGAGGCACTGACACAAGAAAAATAGTGCCACCTGAATGTGCATGAATAACAGCAACTATTTGTTTCTACTGTTGAAGTTATATTTCTGTGATTCTTTTTGGGTAATTCTCTTGGATCATACATTTTGTGTTAAGGAATGCTTCCTAATATAATACACTGATTTCACATTTATACATTGCATGCTTCTCTGCAGGGTGAATTTGTAAATGAATATGTTGGAGAATTAATTGATGAAGAAGAATGCAGATTGCGAATCAAACGAGCCCATGAGAACAGTGTAACCAATTTTTATATGTTAACTGTTACCAAGGTAAAGTTGCTTTTTTTGGTTTGTTTTTGTTTTCATGGTCTTAGGTTGAACTCAGTTTCCTGTAATTTGGTGTTTTTCAGGCCAAATATAATGATTAGCAACAGCCAATGTGCTCCCCACTATAATGTGCTAATAACACCAGAGTACAAAACGAATGCTGACTTGCAGCCTTGCACATACCATGTGAGACAGCACTGTGAGGGTTAATATCTAGATTCTAGCAGGAAGAGGGTTAACATCTGGATTCTAGCCCCAGCTCATCTTAGTCACTGAAAGACTTGGCTCTCAGTTTCTTTATCACTGAGGAGAAAGTGAGCTCTATAATTCTAAGTTATAAGCCACCATTAAAGTTCAGATTTAGCAAAAATTCTCACTCTGAAAATTGTTCTGCATATTTAAACTTTTTTAAATGAGTTAGGAGAAATGGATGCTGTCATAAGAGAATGACAGGACTGCTGGTTTAATACATGCAGTTATAAGTTCTATTTGATGCACATTATGTCCATTATCTCATTTAATTTCTTCAGTAGTCCTCTGATTTACAGAGGACAAGAAACTGAGGTCCAGGCATTATAAGTGGTTTGTTGAACACCTTGTTACAGTTTAATGAATAGCCAAGTTTAATACTCATGTTTCCTGTGTCCCAGGCCACCTCTAAAACCAAGTCAGAATATCACAAAAGGAAGAACTAGAGATCATGTAAAAGAAGTATTATTTTAACTGATATGTCATTGTTTGAAAGTTTCACAATTGTCATGAATATATATTCCATAAACATTAAATGCCATTTATTTATGATTGTCAATTGGCTCCTTAAATCCTATCCTCACTGCCAGTGACCCCTCCAGCCAACTTTACGACACTTGGAGAGGACCCATTTTCTAGAGCTTACCCAGATGAGCAGAGTTTAAATTTAGGGGCCAAATGCTGAGATTTGTACAGTATTTAGGACTTTACTATAAGTAAAAATAGAACAAATAGAAAACTACTAGCTTTGCACAGTGACAGTGTCACACCCAATGGGGTTTATCCGAGGAGCAATTATTGCTAATTGAAAAGGAAAGAAAACCACTAGAGTGTACATTTCTTCTATCAATCAAATCTCCAAATCTTCATTCACAAGAGAGGTTTCTCATTTTTCCTACTTGCTCTTTATGGCCTCTCAGCCACCTGGCCCTATTCTAGTTGCGCTTCTTGCTCAGAGCAGAAACATCATAGTTAAACATCATAGTTCCCATCGTAAGTAGCCATCTAAACTCAGAGCTCTCTNTGGGGGGCCCACAGTTAAACATCATAGTTCCCATCGTAAGTAGCCATCTAAACTCAGAGCTCNCATCATAGTTAAACATCATAGTTCCCATCGTAAGTAGCCATCTAAACTCAGAGCTCTCTAATAAGAAATAATTTTCCTAAACCGATGGCCAGCTAATTTAAGTAGCATTATTCTCTGGTCTGTTTGTTTCTAAAAACAAGCTTAAAAAGACAATAAATTCCACTTTGATTGTTTTGACTTGAAGATCATTAGAGGAAGTAGAGAACTTAATAAACTGTTCAGAGAGCGCCACATTTTCAGGTCTGCAGTTGTCAGACATCAGCTGGTAGCAGACTGCTGCTGCCTCGTGACTCTTGACTGAGTTGGATGCTTCTAAGACAGGCTTATATTCAGTTTCACGTCAAAGGTACCTTTCCTTCCTTTCTTTCTGAAGGACCGTATAATTGATGCTGGCCCCAAAGGAAATTACTCTCGCTTTATGAACCACAGTTGTAATCCAAATTGTGAAACACAGAAGTGGACAGTGAATGGAGATGTTCGAGTCGGACTTTTTGCCCTTTGTGACATTCCTGCAGGTAAAAAGTAACTTGCCCCTCCCTAGGGCACAAGTGTGTCCTTTGAGAGCCAGACATTCTTCAAGGTCTGATGCTCAAATATTTATTCAAATTAGATAGAGTTATATTTAGAATTGTTATCTGCCAATAAGAAGTAAAATCTGTATCCTGCAACAGGGAGCTTAGCAAGAACCTGTCTGTAAGAGAGGATGTTACAGAATTCTGAGTATCCATGATCCTACTGAGTTAATTCTCCACATCATTGCTGTCTATATAACGTAACCAGATGGTTAAGCTTTTTCCTCTTTTTTTTTAAAAAATATATCTTTATTAATTTCAGAGAGAGAGAGAGAAATATCAATGATGAGAGAGTCATTGATCGGCTACTGTCTGCACGCCCCCGACTGGGGATCGAGCCCGCAACCCGGGCATGTGCCCTGACCCGGAATCGAACCCCGATCGCCTGGATCCTAGGTCAATGCTCAACCGCTGAGCCATGCCCGGCTGGGCTTTTTCCTCTTTTTAAAGCATTAAAAGCCTGTGTTAACATCAACTGGTTTCTTGGTTTGTTTGGGGGGAGGTTGTTGTTTTAGTTTAAAAATCCGTCTGTTTCAAATTAGACATAAAAAGCTTCAGAAGCCAGTTACTGCTTTCATTTTCCCTTACCCATCCAGCATCTTAACAACAAAACTTAGTCTCTCCTTTGTTAAGTGTAGAAACATGGGTGAGAAGAGAAATGCTGTAGCTAAGAGATTTTAGTTGTATTTCTAGACTCGTGGTGGATTGTTCAAGCCCAGCTACAAAAAGCTGGCACCTCCTGGTTTGAATCACTGGATCTTTGGTGTATATAGAAAACCTGCACTTTGATCTCTTCTGATCATGATAGGAGGCATTAATTACTGGAAACAGTATGGTCGCTATAATGCCACATCATATTGTTCATTTAGAAACTAGTATAAATTAGCTTTAGAAAAGAGAGCTAAACTAGAACTCATTTTTCTTAAGCAGAGACTTCAGAATCTCAGTCTCTGTGGCATTGTTTCTGACCGCTTCAATGGAAAGGATGTGATGACTCTTGTAGAATATTTTTGCTGTAATCATGGGTGGATGGGGACGTTTTCCTCTGGTTATTTTTTTCCTATTTTATTTTTTCCATCCCTGTCTTCAGTGTAGAACGTGGGGGAGGGGAAATTGATGTCAGAATTATGTCTTTTTTTCATTGTGAGAGTGTGTCTGTGACAGCATTTCTCTTCCCCATTACTTGAGTATGAGTAATTATTTCTCTTCTGTTTTAGGGATGGAGTTAACTTTTAATTATAACCTGGATTGTCTGGGCAATGGCAGAACAGTGTGCCACTGTGGGGCAGAGAACTGCAGTGGTTTCCTTGGAGTGCGGCCAAAGGTCAGTTGTGAGGGGAGTGCCCCAAGGCAGCGGGAATAAGGAGTGGGCTCTGGAAGAAGTTTGTTTATGACCATCTCTAGAAAATACTGGCAAATGGGCACCTGGTTTAGTTTGCAGGTCTTCGGTTGTGTTTACCCAGAGTTTAGACTGACTTTTTAATGAAGTGTATCTTAGAAAGATCCTTTAGGTTCTGAAAATTTATTTGTATTTCTGATAGAATTTGAAGTTAGCAAAATCCTTTTTGAAAACTTTTTTAAAAATTCACAATATACTAAAAAGTCACTGAATTTTATACTTTAAAATGGTGACTTTTGCCCAGGTAGCTCAGTTGGTTAGAATGTCATCATGATAGGCCAAGGTTGTGGGTTCAATCCCCCGTCAGGGCACACACAAGAATCAACCAGTGAATGCATAAATAAGTGGAACAACAAATTAATATTTCTCTCTCCCTTCCTCTGTCTCTCTCTCAAATCAAATTTTTTTTTAAAAGGTATTTATTTTTTAAAATGGTGACTTTTATGGTATGTGAATTACATCTCAGTGTCCTTGCAATTTTTTTTTTTAAAGCACCTATTCAAAAATGTATAAAAATGAATCCTTTTTTTAAAAAATTGATTTTAGAGAGAGGAAGGGAAAAGGGGGGGGGAGAGAGAGAGAGATATGAGAGAAACATCAATTGGCTGCCTCCTGCATGCTCTGCACTGGGGATCAAGCCCATAACCTGGGCATGTGCCCCTGACTGGGAATCGAACTGGCAACTTTTCAGTGCATTAGATGACGCTCAAGCAGCTGAGCCACACCGGCCAGGCGGAATCCTTATTTTTATTATAGTACTGTTATGGGATAAGTCCTCCTGGTGTTTTTGAATTTAAATAAATGTGCTGTAGGATTTAAATAAATGTGCTGTAGGATTTCTCCTCTGTAAAGCTTCGTACATTATGATCATTAAAACTGTGATCCTTTTTTCCTGCCAGTCGGCATATGTGCCAACAACTGAAGAAAGGGCAAAAAACCCCAAGTTAAAGCAGAAGAAGCGGAAAATCAAAACAGAACCAAAGCAGATGCATGAAGATTGCTGTTTTCAGTGTGGAGATGGTGGAGAGTTGGTCATGTGTGACAAAAAAGACTGTCCCAAAGCTTACCACCTCCTATGCCTTAACCTGACTCAGCCACCATATGGTAAGCTAGACCGTTAGCAGCCCTTCTCCAACTCGCATTTTTGCCAACTCTGTAACTCAGAATATATTCTGCTGTCCTTAGCGGAGCCGTGGGATAGGAATCACTGAGTAGGACAAACAACCATAGCAAGTATCACGCTGGTGGAAATCTGTGTCTTTGCAAATGCGGGATACCTGTGGGCAGCAGGGCTTGGTTTCTTTATTATTACCGTAGGCGCGTACTTCACACACTCACATGGAAACCTGACGGTGCGCCCGCCAGACTGACGTGCGACTGACAGTCGGGTTGTGTTGGCTCGAGATCAGTCTCCAGTCAGAGAAGGGGGAACGTGGGCTTCTCCTGGTGATTAGCACAGTGCTGACTTGGGCTCCTTCCTCCTTCCCGCCCCTTAGGAAAGTGGGAGTGCCCGTGGCATCAGTGCGACGCGTGCAGCGGTGCGGCCGTTTCCTTCTGCGAGTTCTGCCCGCGCTCCTTTTGTAAAGACCACGGCAAGGGCGCTCTGGTTCCCTCTGCGCTGGAAGGCCTGCCCTGCTGCTCCAAGCACGACCCTGTGTCTCCTGTGCCACCGGGATACTGGAGCAAGATCAAGTGTAAATTGGAATCACAAGATCATGGAGAAGAGGCGAAAGAATAATGGGTGGTGGTTTCCCTTTTTTCTTTCTCTTTAAATGAACAGAAGGGAAAGGCGGAAAGCAAGCAGGTGGTGGTCAGGGAGCGGAGAGACCGCGGGCACCGCCCTGCCTCTGCTGCCCAAGGAGACGAGCCTGTCCTGGCAGCAGCGTGGTGGGGCCTGGTCTTCCTGCTCTGTTTTGTTGGTTCGGGATTCTTCTGTGGAGGGCTCGGTTCCCTTGGTCCTTCTTTGCCTTTTATTGTGCTTCAATGCCTTTGCAGCGGAAAAAGAGACGTCTTTGTTTATACAAGAACAAAAGAGAGAAAAGAAGGTTTTGTTAATGAAATAAGTGTAAAGTCTAGGATGTGTTCCTTGGGTGTAAAAAGCAAAAGTCACCATCATTCCTTTATTTATTTTCATTTTTTAAAATCTTGAGAAGTGTAGCTCGGATAGTCTGATCAGTGTTTGTGTGTATGTGTTACGTAGGAACTGGAGAAAGCCCCCTAGCAAAGGATTTGATGATCTTTACATACCTCTTTTCTGTGCCGTGGGTGGGCTAACTTCTTTCCCTTCAGAGTGTCTTTCGCAGACTTGGAGAAGGGTCTGTGGAAGCATAGGATCTGGCCTCTTGAAAACAAAAGGCTTCAGTGGGTTTTGCCTTTGTGGTCTTAAACTAGGTGGGCTTTGTGATATGATCACTTTACCTAGAAAGGTATATAATGTGGTTTTGGTTTTGTTTTGGGGAAAAAAAGAAATGAATGTACTGAGTTTGAAATGTTTTCCATTGATAGTGGGTGTTTTTGATGAAGTGTGTTTATGTGGGTATGAATGCATAGTATTAGAATGGTCATTCCTATTTCTTGACACACTGATAAAGGCAGCTAAAGGGCGATGAAAGGCACAGACTAAAAAGATTGGATCATATAAGCACCTTTTCCTTCACACCCTGCATGACTTGGAAAGAATTAAGGGCATTTTATTTTCTGTCTCTGTTTCCCTCTCTTAATCAAACATTCCCTGTGTCAGTTGACCTCTCAGTTTCCTGGTGAAACCATACAGGTGAATTTGAACTGTATTTGAATAGCCCTTTTTGGTTTAGTTCCTATTTGGGGGGCATCCCAAAGTTATATTCTAAACAATTTCTATTTAGTATTATCCGGTACGTAACATTGCTCCCAGGGAAGAAGGGAGGGGAAGCACTTCTACAGGGTGTTTGATAGCCACACAAACACACTTCATCATCTTAGGAACCACGGAGGGAAAGCTCCCAAGGAACCAGTTTTAGCAAAAATGATTGGCTGTGGTGCTTGGATCTCATAGATGCCAGTGTACCCAGATGTCTGCCCACAAAACTCACTTGCTTTTAATGCTTAGGAATATGTATATTCCAGTATTCCTTGTATGAAATAATTAGTAATGTCAGACATTGTTTTAACACTGTACTAAGTAGAAGTACCAGTTAGCTTGAATGAACGTTAACTTTCTCTGTGAATTTTGACTGCTTACAATTGCTGGTACCTGGTAGCATTTATTTTCCCTCAAAAAGTAACTAGTAACCTTACAAAGGTAGGGAGAGTAGATGTTCTGCCACATTCTTTCAGTCGTGTTATGTGTGTTTCTTTTTCTTATGAATTTAGAGCTTTTCTCTGGAAAAAAGAAAAGCTGTTTTGTGCCTCTCTTTTTTTTTTTGTATGTAAATGTGCAATTATACTGGATTTTGTCTTGTGAAAAAACAAAACAAAAAACACTACATTTCCTTTACTTAAGCTCCTAAACTGCCATTTGCCTGATTCTGGCAATTAATTCTGAGGTAACTTATTGGGCCTCCAGTAATTCTATTGATTAGATATGGTCCCAAAAGAAAGAGCAAAATAGAAAATGCTATACATGTTACCACATATAATTGCTACAAGTAACATGAATTACATCTCACCAAAACACTAAACTTTGCTCTTAAACAATTACATAGTTTGATGTCCTTTTAAAAAATAACTTAAGAAAATATAGGTTTTATCATACTAAAACTTTATTTTATATATGTATATGATAAGTGTTTGCTTTTCTAAACTTACTAACATGAAGGATTTCCTTTAATATTCAAAATGTAACTCTTGTTGAAACAGTATCCAACATGAAATCTTATCTCCTTAGTGCTATTTGATATCTGAAGACTTTTCTATGGTAAGCCAGGGTCTAGCCTATAAACTGCAAATACCTTAGGTTTGAGTATTTTTATGCAGCTCTTCATTGTGTCACATTGTGTTTGTGTATCTGTAACAGCTCTGCAGAGACTTCTTGGGGGGGGGGTGGCTAATAGGATTGTTCTGCCATTTCAGAAATCAGGGTAGGTAACAAAATAGCTAACCCTAGCTTTGGGGTCTTTGTGCATGCGTGTTCTTCAGTGGTCTAAACAGTGGTTTTAGTCATGCCAGTGCCAAGGAGCTCTTCTTTCACCTCCATAGTGTCACTGTTCACCTGTTTAATATATTGTGAACTTGCAGGTCTGGAAGCAGAAAAGGAGTAAGTTGTGCTTTAAGTGTGCATAGTATACACGCGCTGTGCTTGCTGTGCTTCACCATGAAATATTCCACAACACGTTGCTCACTCAGTCTGAGATTGGTATTTGTTAACTTTTAAATCTGTATGTGGTCAGAGCATATACATGGTTGGTATTTATTATTGTCCAAAAATGAAATAACTTAAAGCAGCATGGAATAATGGTGGTATTTTTTTAAACTCGTGTTAATTCTTTGGAGGAAGAAGTGAATATAAAATTTTTGATAATCAGCATAAAGCATCAGAAATTGGATCAGTAACAACTAAAGATGAAATCTTGGTAAAAAGTTCCGGGCACTGTACAGTGGAGAGAGGGGCTGGACCATGGCTGGTATGAGAAATCAGGAGAGCTGCCTGTAGCCGGCTAAGGGGGGTGCAGGGGGGTGGCCCTTCCTGCCTGGAAGGCTGACGCAGCTGGAGGACGGGAGTCACTTCTTTAGTATTTAATCAGGGCTAGAATTAGGGGTGAGGTGGGGCTTATTTTTATTTTTGTTTTAACAAGTTCCCACTCTACCTTAATTCTCAAAAATAATCTGGCCTAAATTATAAAATAGGCTTTCAGAATCATTGAAACTTGGAGATTTCTGTGTGTTCAAATAAGGAATGTACTCAAAACAAAACAAAAAAATAACGGGAGTAGGTGATGCTGCTCCCAGTTCCCTTCTGCCATTTCCAAATATTTGGAAACATGCCTGTAAATAATGTTGTGAAATTCTGAGATAATCATGTGAAGGACTCTCAGACAGGTCAGGCTGTTGGACAGCTTTCTTTCCTGGTTCATGGAGTTCCTTTTTGAGTAGTTTGTTGCATGGTATGTGTCATGTGTTCCAATCAGGGTCAAACCCAGATCTGCAGTTTGGAAACAGATGGGCCAGCTATTCAGAATGTAATCTCTGGACTACCCAGCACTCGATGCTTGTCTTTTGTTTCATTTTTAAATACAGAGCTCTTCCTTTAATGTTCACCTTAAAGTCAAGGTGCTGCCACTTGCTATGTCCCAACAGGATAAGAAAACAAGTCACAGCTTGGGAGGCTGCGTTTGAGGCGCTTGCTCGTGAGGTACAAGGATACTGGGAAGTTGCTTATGGGCCGTGGGAACCCTTCTTGTGTTACCGCCTGCAGGGCTGCTGCGGGGAGCCCCCGCCGTCCCGGCTGCCGCAGGCGGGAAGTGGTCGTTTGGAATAACTCCCTTTGGCCTAGGGCCACACAGAACTGGTCTCTGGTTATTTGTAAAGAGGAGAACTAGCTTCCCTTTTCAGATAAGCTAGGGAATCGGTATAATTAGACAGCTTTGTCATGTATTAACAAATACTGAGAAGTTGGAAACTTGTATATACTGAAATCTACCAACTTTTATCTGGGGTGGGGCACATGTATCGTGGGGTGAGGGAGGGGACGATGTTTACCACAGGTACGAAATAGTCACTTTAACATTGAGACCTCTGCCTCATGGAATTCAGGTTTTTTAAGTACTTGAAATTCTTCAGATTCTCCTTATTTTAACAGTTGTTTTAAAATTTATGAAGTAGAAAGCATTGTTCTATATACTGTTTGAAAACAGCCTAGTCTCTTACCCTCTTTCGCTTGGATTAAAGGTGAAGTTCTGCAAATGGGAGACTGTGCTCACAGTAGGCATCTCAGATCTGATGTACACCTGGGGGGAGACTCCTGCTTGGGATGCCAGCAGCGTTTTTATGAGTATTTCCTATATATGTTCTTTATCATTTCGTCAACCCAAGCACCTCTTCTTTCCTTTTAATATATACCTGCCCGAGGGGGGGTAGTAATTTGCACTTATGTTACACTCCTGAAATGCTGGGTGTAATCTGTGTGTTTCAAAAACCATTTCCTTTTTTTCCATTGCTTAAGTGACCAGTTCAGGTGCTTATGGCACGTATGTGTGAAGGGGGAGGAGGAAGAGAAGTTCCTGTCCTTTGGTAGGCTCTGAAAGTCATTAACGTGTAAGTAAAAGGGAAAGGATGAGTAGTTGCCAAAGTCATTTATTCAGATCTTAGTTTTATTACGTGACGTGACTGCATCTGCATATGGGCAAGAAGCACCCTCAGGTTCCAGTACTCCCCTACCCGCCACAGGTTTCTCATATGTTCATCAGATTACCTGGATTAGGTATTGATAAGGTATTCTGGTCAGTTTGGAAGTGGACTGGATAAAAGTTACTTTTACTTTGTTGTCATTTATATCTCTATTTCATTTGTGCTGTCACATACCCTATGTTAGAAAAAAAAAACATTATTGCCGCCGACAACCAAGATGCTAAATGATTATTACAACTGGCTAATAATAAATTCTTTTTATATACAAGGGTATGTGCATAATTGGAATTGATATGAGAAATTCATTTGTAACCACTTGTGATATTGCACAACAAACACACATACCTACAGATTCTGTTTTCATTTCCTTGTGATCTTTATCTATAACAACCTTTGTAGATTGGTTATTTCTGTACTTTGTTTACCTGTAATAAACTTTGTAGATCCTGTGAAATGTTATTTTGCCTAAATCACTTGAGACTTGAGTCTTTAATAACAAAGCACCAATATTCACGAAAGTCAATCTCCTAAGTTTCTGTGACTTGGCTAGAAGCTCGACACTAAGGGATTAGTGTTCATTTTCCCTGGGGGTGTTCCACTAGGGCATTACTGTATATTGACTTGATGTTGCCACACAGACTTCAAGATATATATTTTGGGGATTTTGTTGATTGGCCTATGTTTTATTGCATAGTGTGAAGTGTGCAAAGCTTGGTTAACCTGTATATAGATAGCTTACTGCTGACTCGTTACTGTGTATTTAGGATTGCCTGTAATATTTAAGCGCTTACTGCTGTCTGTGCTGGTAGGAACATATAATTTTGTATATTATATTTACTGAGATGTTGCCTTTTTTTATTTTACAAATACTTTGAAATTCAAATGTGGTTTGCTTTTTTTGCTTCCATGAGGATTAATTTGGAAAGATTTTTAATGACATTCCACTGATTTCAGATTTTGCTTGAGATTGACTTCAATAAATTGTCCTGTATGTTCCAAATTAAATACGTGGACTTGTTCATTGCCTGTAGTTTCTTGCTGTAACTCACTGGGCCAGAGGCCTTTGTGGGAGGGAGGGGACCTAGCTTCGGGGCTGCATGACCCACTGTATGTGTCCACCCTCAGTCAGTGAGGCGCAGTACAGCAAGTCCTGCAGGAAAGTAAGTGCATCTTTCTTCAAAACGCTGTGCTGCTCATGAACTGGGATCTGAAAATGCAGGGGTTTTTTGTGTTCGCGGAGGAAAGGCCCTTGGGTAGTGTCGTGCTTGCTCTGGCGTCCTCCGAGAGCGCCCGGCACTGGCTCGTTGGTGAAGGGCATGACCGGGACGTGGTCGTCCCTTTCATCCCGCTGGTTTGGCTTGTCGGACGGAAGGCAGCCTGCCCCTCGGCTGGCCACCGGGAGCTAGCTCCTCGCCGAGTGTGCTGGAGAGCAGCGCTGCTTCCTCTTCATCCCGCCGGGCGGCCTGAGCGCCGGGAGGTGCCTCCCACTCGCTCTGCACCGCCCGCCCGGCTGCGGTCAGGGGGCTGAGCGCCGGCAGTTCCCCGAGTGCCCGCCAGCGGGCGCTGACAGCGCAGTGCGGAGACCCGGCCT